TTTTCCGTATTTTTGGTGTACCAATTCATAAACAAAACCAAGCTAAAGGTACTCAATATATCCAAACCTAGAGGTATGCAGTTTTTTTCCTCTATCTCAGATAGTTAAAAAATATTTCCCGTGATAAAGGCTGAAACTTTGTGAAACTCTTTTTTGAAAAATTTGAAGGTTTAAAACTAATCAGAGAAGTTGACATGGGTTATGTTAGTAAAACAGTGTACGGGCTTTATATCTCTCTCAAAACTATTGCCACACTACTCTGAAATCAATGTCTAAAACGCATTTTGAATGTATCTATGACATGGGTTATGTTGTCGGTAAATGTTCCTGTATTTTGGTTGGATTTATCTAAGGGGCTGTTTACCTAAACACTTATCTGGTAAGCGCTTACTGGTAAAATTCATAATTATTGTTTACTTATCGAGTAAGATTTTATTCACCAAAACGCATTGTATACAACAAATTGTCTCGGTAAGCGGCAACCTTGGTAAGAGTCGTCGCCCTCACTTACCGGGTAAGACTCTCGATTCTTGTCTTTGCTGTTACTAGGTAAGATTTTTAGTCTTTGTCATATTCATCTGGTAAAGTAATGTCACTTGATAAGCGCTTCTCCAAGTAAACGTTTGGTAAACGACACCTAAGTGTATTAAATTCTTTTATGATAATGTTATAACCATAAATCTGAATATGCATTGGATGTAAACATACTGCAAAATCTCACATTTTTAGATGTGGGTTTTCACAAAATATATTATTATTATTATTATTATTATTATTATTACGAAAAAAAGGAAATAATATCAAAATGATGTTATGTGAAGCGGAGAATCCATGATGATGATAAGTAAATCTTGATAAATATAAAAAAATTTCAAGATTCAGGATAATTTAAATTTTTTTTTTGTCTCTTTTGAAATTATTGTTGTCAACTTGATAGGACATTTATGTTTAAGCTTATCGGTACTTGTTAAATTAATGGTAAATTGTATGAAAAAGTAACGTATTTTAATTTGATTCATATTCTGGGTAACGTACTTTCAAAACTTTCATTTTGATATTTAAGATGTAAAATTTTAAACATTTAAGTACCCGGGTAACCGGTTGAAGAATTAACCGATTATCATGCTGATGTGGCGAGTGATAAGATGAAATTGAGTTGAATAGCAAATAATACTGAGTTGGATACCACATCACTCACCATATCAACATGGTAATCAATTAATACTTCAACCAAGTACCCGGATACTTGAATGTTTAAAACTTTACATCTTAAGTACCAAAATGAAAGTTTTGAAAATACGTTACCCAAAATAGAAATAAAGTAAAATACGTTATTTTTTCATACAACTTGCCTGAATTGATTGAAGAATTCGAGTTTAAATTAATTTATTTTATTAATTTGTATACAACCATTTAAATCTTTTAAATTTAAATTTAACTTTTAAAGAAAAAGTTGTACCGAATCATGCCAAAATGTTGGGAAAGGCATCCACAAAGAATATGTTATATGATCATGTTGGGTTCCTTTTGTCCACATATTATAATAACATGTAATACTTCCAAGTTACATGTGACATATTCATGTACCAAAATTACTTTAATTGAACAATCATTTTTTTCCAGTGAAATGTAAATAAGGATAGACACGTAGATATTTTAAACATGTTGGAATCTCGGCTCCAAAATGAATTGCGTAATCGAGTTTACTTCCGATTCTATGTATAATCAATATATTGGTACAACTTAAAGTTAAGTCGATAAACTTATAGATGCTTCACCAGCTTAATTAGGGTTCGGTATTCAAGTTGAGATCTTTATGATGCTCATCTTTGGATGCATGAAGTGTTGACGTTTTGTTGTGATGGTCAAAATAACGGATTATTATACTTTATCAATGTATCAACTCCATTACTCAAAGCGATTGCAACATTGCACAAAATGTGTGTTTATAAAACCACAAGGATGATGTCTGATTGATTTAAGCTTGGACTCCAAAGGTCAAAAGTGTCTGGAGATTCCAGGTTCAAATTCAAGGAGGAGTAAAAATCTTCTTGCAGCCACAAAGGTTCAAATGCGATGACTTCAGGCTACCCGCAAAGCAAGTGGTCGTCCTTATTCGGCTTGCATAGCTAGTTGGATATCCAAATTAATAAAAAAAATGTGTTTTATAATATAACATCGTTTGAAATTTTAAATGTTATCCTGTAATTTTAATAATTAATTTATTTAAACGTATAAAAGTTTGTAATGACAATTTAAAGATCTCATACTCCGATCCAGATTTCCTCCTAAAAAGACGACAATTTTTCAATTTTGATCTTTATTCTCTGAAATATATATTTTTAATAATAATAATATTATTATTATTATTATTATTATTATTATTATGGTGAAAATGCGAATTAATTGTAGAAATGATGGGATGTGAAGCGGAGAATAGAGAATGATAGCCAAATCTTGATAAATGCAAGCAATTTTCAAGAATGTCATATTCTCTCTTGTCTTTCTCAAGGATGGTTTCTATGTATTCTGTAATTTTTGTAACATCATTTCTAGCTTATGTCTTTATATTTTTACATTTAAAAGTTATGAACTTAAATTCTAGACTTAGGACAACCCATTTTTTATATGATAACTCATTCGTTCAATTATTATGTAGTATTTGTTTTTTTTGGAAATTAATTAAAATAGTAAATTTCCATACTTTTAATTTCAAAAATGTCAGTGACAGCTCCTCAACTTAAGTGGAACCTTTATCTAATTTACAGATTTGGTGTCCGCACATGCAGACATGGTTCAATAATCTTTTCTTTTACATTTGACTCATCCGCAAATTGAGGAGGTGTCACTTGAGGACCTAGTGATATTTTAAAATTCCGGGAGAGAAATGGTTAAGAGATGAATACAAAGCCTGAAAATGGCTATTTCTATTAATTCCCCTGTGTTTTTTAATTAATTGTTACGTAATTGATTAAATTGTACGAGTCATCATGTATTTGTACATATTCACCTATTAATGGATTAGACATTCCAATTGATTCAGATTTTGTAGGAATCATATGAATTTTGAAAATATATAAATAATTGATTAACATTGTCGTTTAATGAGTTGAAAATTGGATCAAAATATTAGATGGATCAAGTCCGACCAAATGGATAATCAATAGTAATATCTAACGTATGGAACCGATCTGATCCATACATCCATTGGACCAGTTGTCAAATGTCAATTGAGTTAGATAAGATGACAAAGTTCAACATCCAATAGAGGAATAGATCGAATCGGTATATCGAATCCACCTGAATTCATTGTATTTAAACCGTTAAACATCTATATCGGGAAATTGGTAACTTTTTATATAGAAAATCTTATCAAGTTAAGTGACATTTCCTTAAAAATAAATGTGTTTAATGAAAATACTAGTTGTATACCCGCGCAATGCGGCGGGAGCCATGAATTTTAACGATTTTAAAGTTTCACTGGTTTTATTAGAGAAGATTTAACGATGATATAAGTTACACTTGATTTATACATATTAATACAATTTGAATAAATAAGAGTTATGGTTCCAATTACAGTCTATCGTTGCAAAAAATTGTATGACAGTTTAAAATCCAATATATTTAAAATCTAATATATTTAAAATCCAACATATTTAAACGACTCTACAAATATATACGATTTACACCAAGAGCAAATAATCAAGAGATCGAGAGCGAGAGTTCTAGAGCAATTGAATGAGAAATGAATAAGAGAACTTTTAATAACTCATGATGAATATCAGTTTGAATATCACATTGGGAGATGGGGATAAGACATAGAGGTATGAAAGGGTGAAGACATGAGTGAAAAGTGTCAAAAGTATCTTGGGAACAAGAAAGAAAAGGTAATAATGTACATTGGTAACTTATACTATATGTTATTTTAATTGTAAATTAAGGGTGCGTTTGGTTTGCAAGAATGTTTATGAGGGATTTGGATTTGCAGGAGGGATTTGGATTTGGATTGGATTGAATTTAAAATTCATTCATGTGTTTGGTTTGTAAGATTTGGATTGGTTTGCAGTATTTTGGAATAATAAGCCTATCCAAATGCACCCCTGCAACTTCAATTGTTCCAATAAACAAATAACACCATAATCACAATGCAGGCCAAACTACCAATTGCTATCCTAACAGAGACGAGATCCTGTTCTACTTAATCAAGTGTAAAATAGGGAAACTCATAACAAAGAATAATCAAGAACGCTGGAAATTAGGTCAACAGAAATTAGTTTCCTGCTGAGTGATGAGAAGGGGCGAAGAGGAAGAGAGGGAAATCTTTACCTGCTGAGTGATGAGAGAAGGCGGCGAAGAGGAGGAGAGAGCACCGACGAGAGCGGGACGACGAGGGGGAGAGATTACCGGCGAGGAAGAGAGAGCTCCGACGGGTTAGGGCGGTAGGAAGCGAGAGGACGGGAAGGGAAGCGGGATCTGTTAAGCGAGGAGAAGGGGTGGAAGCGATATTATTGGATTTTGATTTTAAATCCAGACCATTTGCAAAGGATTTCCAAATCCCATGTTTAAGGGATTTTAATGAAATCCCGGGATTTCAAATCCTGACAATTTGGCAAACTAAACACATGATTGGAATGAATTTTAAATCCAGATCCCCCCAATTCCATTCTATTCATGCAAACCAAACGCACATAAGAGATTTTAAAACTGAATGTATAAAGTAATAGTACTTAATGCATTATGATAAATCTGGTTTTTAATGTAGTATAGATATATTATTTTGGTAAATAATTAAAAATTGTGATATTATTTTAATTACTATAACAGAGAAATGGAACGTGGCCTTTGTTTTACGAGTCAAAAACTATGCCGAAAACAGAAGACAGCCCAATCACATGAAAGTACGCATCTTGTCGTCTTCTCCGTCAGCTACAATCGGATGAGAGAGAAGCCACAACTCACACAGAGATATCAGCAATGGCCTTGCCATTATAAATGGTAGCCATTGAGCTATCAACACAGCAACTAGCAGAAGAAAACAGACCACTGACTCTGTTATTGATTTCTTTTTTCTCTGACTTGAAGCTCTGTTTGTTCTACTTCATCTGGTAAGCAACAATGGATCCTTTTTTCTCTCTCTAGATTCACGTTTTTCACTTGACTCTATTACTACAAAAGCTGTCACTCTTTTTGACGCTTTGTTTTTTATGAATTAATTGGTGAATCAGGAAGGATTTTTGCTCACCAGCTCAGCATCATTCAATTGTTCAAAAAAGGTAAAAACATTAATATCGAGATATAAATGTTCCTTTTTGTGCAGACATGTTAATTCGCCAATTTTGGGCTTTAATTCGATATTCGCCTTCAAATTCTAGTGGTAAACGATGATTTATTCTTGGTTTTCTTTGTCATTTCAAACGTCGTTCTACTCTTAAGCCTAAAATCGTCTCATATTATTTGATTTTGCATTTTTATTCGTTTCACCAAGGTATTATCAAGATTTTATGCTTAACTAGTGTTTTAATCTGTAGAATTATCAGTGAACTTAGACTTATCATTAGTTTCATTTCAAGTTTTATCCCGATTTTGCTGAATCAATGCTTGAATTTATGATTTCCCAATAAATTTGTGTACTATTTTCGACGAATTTACCCTCTGTTATTATGCACGTCACCATATGTTTGATGTTTGTACGCTCGTAACTTTATCCCCTTTGAAGTTTTTGCAAAGAAGGCTGCGAATATAAGAGGAAATGAAGAACTCAGTATCAGACCACGCCTTTTTCATTGAGAGTGATGATGAGGATGAAGACAAGGATTCCATTAGAGGTGAAGATGATGGGAATGATTCGGATTTTTCAAATTATTCCGACGAAAACCCTCAACATCAGCGCAAACCCAGTTCCTTAAACCCATCGTGGCCCCAAAGTTACAGGCAAGCCCTCGATTATTCAAAGACTTATCACTTTTTGTGGCTACTGAATCTTGTTTACTGACATGTTTCACTTTAGCAAACACCCTTCATTTGATTAAAAACACATGGTTTGAGTTTACCCAGTTAAACTGGATCCCTTTTAACTCCAAAGTCTCGAGTTCTGAACTTTTTGTACCAGAAATCAAGGACCACATAACTTCATAAGATGGCACAAACCAAGATTGGTGGTGATAGATTTGCAACAAGATCCTTATATATGTATATATTTTGTTTGTAAAGTTGTTAAGGTTTGAAATTTAAAGGTCTAATTGAATCAATTTGAATGAAAAGAAAGTAATTATAAGATTTTCTCTGCATGATGTTTCAGGCAATCGATTGATCTGTACAGTAGTGTACCGTCGCCAAGCCTTAACTTTCTGGGGACTCCAAATTTGTCGCGATTAGGCAGTTCGTTTCTTTCTTCATCACTGACAAGAAGACACACTCCTGAGATACTCCCGAGTTTGAGCAAACCTTTCTTGCCATCAGCAACAGACAATCAGCAGCCACAAGAAAGACGTAGTTCTCATTCCCTTCCTCCTCCACGGGGATCTTCTGCCAAGAAGTTGCCACACTATCAGAAATCTTCCAAGGTTTCACATGAAATTCCTCTTTCTAGGCAGAGCTCATACGGCCAATCAGTGCTTAATGGTATATGCCACAACCAAAATTTTGTGTTTTGATCTTAATATCTGGTCTTTGAAACCAATTAGTTAACAGAAGATCACCCTGTTTGTACATAAATCAGTCATAAAATCGATCCCATGATGATATTTTGTAGGCATAAATGTTCTTTGTGGAGTAGGACTTCTTTCAACTCCTTATGCAGTGAAAGAAGGAGGATGGGTTGGATTGTCCCTTTTGTTCGTCTTTGGTGTCCTTTCTTTCTACACTGGTATCCTTCTTCGATACTGCTTGGATAGTCAGCCTGGTCTCGAGACTTATCCAGATATTGGCCAGGCTGCCTTTGGCACCGTGGGTCGTCTAATCATTTCTGTAAGTTTTCTTAAATACATACATACATACATACATACATATATGTAGGGGAAGGTTTAAATAAGGATAGACAAGAAGGTTGAGAACATAGGAATAAACGATTCATATGTGAATTATTGGTAATTCCATAAAAATCCTTTTGAAAGATGCATATGTGAATTTTTACCTATTATTCACATATGAAGATGCTATTGTGAACCCATGTTTATTTCACCATTGATTCATATGTGAATCATTTTTATTCATACGTTCTCAACCTTTTAGCATTGCCAGGAAGCACATATGGTAGTTAAATTCTGACTGTTGCTGACCAAGTTATCCTCTTTCTTGGCTTTGCTGCAGATAGTTTTGTATGTGGAGTTGTATGTAAGTATATCTGGCTCTATTGATGGCTTAAATCTACATTTGTTATGCAAAGGTCTCTTAGGAGCTGTACCTTACTTGATTAACGTTGATTTTAATTAGATCATCCTGTTATCTGCTGCAGGCATGTTGCGTTGAATATATAATCTTGGAGAGTGATAACCTATCTTCTCTGTTTCCAAATGCACATTTAAATCTGGGAGGATTAGTACTCGATTCACATTATTTATTTGCAATTATGATCACTCTTGCTGTGCTTCCTACAGTTTGGCTCCGCAATATGAGTGTTCTCAGTTACATCTCTGGTAAGCATGATCAAATACGTTAATGGCTTGCAAAACGTTCCAAAAGCTGTAACTCTACCATTGCTTTTTATCCAGCCGGTGGAGTTATTGCATCAGTTCTGGTGGCCGTTTGCTTGTTTTGGGTTGGCTTGGTGGATGACATTGGTTTTCAAATTGAAACCACGAAGACATTAAATCTCTCCAGTTTTCCTGTGGCTATCGGGCTTTATGGCTATTGTTACTCAGGACATGCCGTTTTCCCTAATATCTATACATCAATGGCCAAAAGGAGTCAATTTCCTATGGTCCTTTTAGCCAGGTAAAGTATGCATCTTGGATGAACACAATCATCTTATCTGTTAGCAATCTTTAATCACTTTCGTGCATGCTAAAAAAGTCCATTTTCTGTTCAGTTTCGGAAGTTGTGCTGTTCTTTATGCTGTAGTCGCTGTAATGGGATACATGATGTTCGGGGAATCAACAGAATCACAATTCACTCTTAATCTGCCAACGAATTTGGTTGCCTCTAATATTGCTGTGTGGACTACGGTATGTTTAAGTACAATGATGAATGCCATTTTCGTGTGCTTAATGCTAAATGCATACAGTTAATCCTCCATTTGTTGTTTTCATTTGCAGGTAGTCAATCCATTTACCAAATATCCTTTTGCTTGAATTACAGTTATAATTCATACTAGGAACTATATTTGAAAAGATAGAAGCTAGTTTATAATGTATTTCCTTAACTAGGATCACGTATGCTTTGACCATATCTCCAGTAGCCATGAGTCTTGAGGAGTTGATACCATCAGATCGTATGAAATCTCATATCTACTCCATCCTCATTAGAACGTCGTTGGTGCTCTCTACTTTGGTTGTAGCCCTTTCCATCCCCTTCTTCGGTAAGTTTGCGTACACACAAATATGTATCCATATATATATTTACCCTCTAATCTAAGGTTCCTGTTTGCTTCTTGTATGCACTAAGGATCTTTGTTTCCTCTATCTTACAGGTCTTGTTATGTCGCTGATCGGATCTTTACTCACCATGCTAGTGGTATATTATCTATTTCGAGTCCCTAATTTCATTCATTTTCACTTACCCTTTTCTATAATCAAACAATAAGACCGGAATATTATACAAATTAACATGAATTTTGGTGTTCCAGACGTTGATACTTCCTTGCGCTTGCTTTTTGAGCATCCTAAGAGAAAAGACAACTCGTTTTCAGGTAAAAACGTATTACTTTTGACACATGCTACGTTGCAACATGCTCGTTATCCATGAATGTATGTTGTCAATTGTCATACAACCGACCTTGAGTGCCAACTCAACTGGCAAGTAAATAGATCGCCAGTTTGAGTCCCCTCAACAACCATAAGGATTTCTAAGAGATGCGTCAACTGGTCTAAACACTCATGATTACAGAAATTGTCATACACACTCTATTTGTTTATTTTCTAACACTCATGTCACGCCTTGATTTGCAGAGATCACTGTGTGCCGTGATCATTACGGTTGGGCTTGTGTCTTCGATTATTGGAACATATACAGCATTATCCGAAATTGCTCAACAGTTGTTCTGATCATGTTTGGTACTCAAATAGTTGATTGTTGTTGGTGATGAATATAGAAATAGATTATACACCGTTTTTGCTTCTCATGGGGGTATTATTATTGTTATTATTAATTATTATTGGTGTATGTTGGGATGTTCAGTATGGAATTTTGTCTCCCTTCTTTGTGCAATTAGCATGAAGTTGGTGTTGTTCCCTTTAGTTTGTACTCCATTATTCCCAATTTCATGTCTTTTAAGACATTAATATTGTTTACCTTTTTTCTTTATCATTAATCTTCGACATTTTTTTTTATTAACTTAGATATCTAATTCACTATACGAGCCGATTAATTCCATGACGACCACCTACTTTGCAGATTGTTCGGAATCAACGCATTTGAACATTTTATAAAGATTATAACATTTTTTGAAAAACTAAAATAAAATATTGTTTTTCAAGAAAACAAAAATCCTAAAAATTTAATGATGGTTTTAAGAATAATTATGCTTGTGATTCTTACCATAAATCTATATATATATACCAAAATATATTTATGAAAAAGAAAAAGGAAACCCTCTTGTTTGATGGTATAGAAACCAGAGTGGAAGCATCTTCCCATGCACGTAAACCTATAAAATGAAATAATCTTCCGATATTTTGGTATCAAGATTCAGCAATCCCTTCCTTCAATTCGTCCTTGATACACATTCATCTCTAACTATATTTCGAAAAATCTCCACCTCCTTCGCCCATTTTCATATCATTATTCTTGTTCTTACTTTTACTTTTCAATTCTTCACGACTCCTTCCTAGATTTGTGAATTTCAAACCTACATATGGTTCACGTCACTTTTATCGACCCTCATTCAACGTTCTACTCTAACAATCTCACAACCGTAAGTTAAGTTTTGATTCCTTCATTACGCAATTTCTGATTCCCGATTACTGTGTTTTTGTATTATAGATTTGGGTTTTCTTTCTTTTTTCATTTGATTGATTGCTGAATCACATTTATTTTCTTTTTGTATACGTGTGTGTGACTTTGTGTTTCTTTTGGTTCACTTTAGGGAGGATCACTCAATCTGTATTAATGCTTAAAGGTGCGTCATGTATTACACCCTTTTCCATAATGGTCTTTACTGAATCATGGAAATCTTGATCTAAATTCTTGATTTTCTTGGCATTGGGAATTTAGGGTTTTTGGATAGGGAGTAAGGAGGAGGTCTATTCAGATGTGAATAAAGATGGAAGAGGGTATGATGAAAGCTTTAGATAATAGTTTAGAAAGTGAGCTTGAATTGATACTCCGCCAAAGGGATAGTAGGGCGGTTGGTGTTCAAGAAAGAGATCTTAATATGAACAGGAGTGGTAGTGCTCCACCAACTGTCGAAGGGTCTTTAAGCGCGGTCGGAAGTCTGTTTAGAAATTCTGATCATCTGCAAATTGATAACCGAAATAGTCTTGGTATTAATGGAGTTTTAACAGAAGAAGAACTCCGATCTCACCCTATGTATTTAGCGTATTATTATGCACATGGAAACTTCAATCCAAGACTTCCTCCTCCATTACTGTCGAAAGAGGATTGGCGGGTTGCTCAAAGATTTCAGGTAGGAGGATCGAATGGCGAAGGAAATAGGGATTGGTGGAAGAAGAATGTCAGTAGTGATGGTGGTAGTTCTTCATTGTTTTCTATGCAGCCTGGATTAGCTATTCACAAAGATGCAGAATCTGAATTGATGGAAATGAGGAAGGCTGCCACCGGAAAAACACAAACTCTTCCCCGGAAAAACTCTGATGAATGGATTGATAGAGGTGATGGTTTGATTGGCTTGACAGCTCCTGGAATGGGTAGTAGAAGGAAAAGTTTTGCAGATATTCTTCAGGTGAATCTATCACTTAGTTTTAAAACCTTTTTTTATTTATTTTTATAATGATTATTTGTTCAACAATTGATCATTAATTGGAGTGACTATATCTTCTGCAGGAAGGACTAGAACAGCCTGTGTCTTCATCCAATCGAATTTCTCGCCCTGCAAGCCAGAATGCAATTAGTGATGTTATGAATATAAGGGGTATCTCTAATTCCCATTCTTCAAGTTTATGTAATGAAAAAGAAACATCTGAAGTCATGCATTCTGGGGCAGTCTCACCAGATCTATCTAGATTCCGGAATTTGAATTCAGCGGTTCCACATTCTTTTGCACCTGCTGTGGGTTCGTCTCTTTCAAATAGTAGAAAGCGTGAGCCACAATTGGTCAGGAGAGCCCCTAGTCCTGGCATTCCGCCTGTGGGTAGTAGCATGGTTCGCTCTGCTGATAAGCAAACCGTTGTAGGAGGACCTACACTAAATGACCTTCGAATGTCTGAGCTCACAGATGTTGCATCTTCCTTATCTAGCTTGAATCTCTCAAAAAGCCGCCTTCCTGATGGAGATAATCATTCACAATCTAGTTATCTTGATGCTATAAATGATCAGAGACTGAGTTATCAGCATCGGGTTGGTGATTCCTCAAGAAAAGATAATCTTGGAACCAATACCAAATATCTTGATATTTCTAGGGAGAATGCAAATATAGTTGACATGAATGTTAGAAAGTCCGGCATTGATGGACCAGTGAACTTCCATAGGAGGGCCGCTTCTTCTGCTGATCTAAATTCTAACCGAAACATGTATGAATTTGCAAAACTAGATGGTCCCAGCATACATAATCAAGTCGATAATTTACCTGGGATGGATTTATCTGCTCAGATGCCTACTAGATATCCTGCTGCAAATAATCATCTTGCTTCAGGTACATTATATATATATATATATATATATATATATGTATATATATATATATCTTGTAGACATGATCAATTTAATGCAGAAAAATGTATAACCGAAGCACTATGGTTTGCAAGAATGATCGATTTTGAACAAATTGGAGGACTTAATGCATAAAAGATAACAATGTGTTTCGTGATTTTTCTAGAATCACTTATGCTTGCAAAGTATATATCACAAGAATGGTGGTTTGTTTGCAATGAAAAAAGCCGGATAAGATGGTTCTAAAAGCCAGTAACTCAATAGACATTGTACTAGTTACACTCTCTACATTGCTCGACTTTCTTTACATCATACCTGCATGTATAAGTTGCTTATATATTGGTTCTACTTGTATTACATGTTATACCTTATTACATTGTCTTCTTGCACACCATTGAATCGTAATTCTACCTGTTATATTACCTATCTTATTGCTTGCTTGCACACACTATGCATCATGCACAAGCCCGCAGTCTTCACAGAAACATCCTCTTGATTATAGCGGTTGAGATAACGTCTACATACATTCAACCCCTCCTAGACCCCACTTTCGAGTGGGATATATTGGTTTTTTTTGGGGGGGGGGAGGTCTTCTCAGACACAACCTCTCTGTCTCATAGGACAGAAGCAAGTTCTGCATACATCTTACCCTCCTGACCTACCTTCTAGTGGGATATACTGGGTCTGTTTGGTTTGCACGGTCTTCATTGCCTTTTAATTTGTATTTTCAGCTTCAACTTTAAATGCTGCTGGAAAGAGGCAATTTCTGAGACAATGTAACTACCCAGCATCATCTTGCCTTCATTCACCAGCCATGGATTCTGTGCGTGGTCAATACATGATGAAGTCTTCCGAGTATGCAAATCATGGTGCAACTAGCTCAGGTAATCTTCCTCGGGGAAAAAATAATTATGTTGTTTCACATGGCCATGAAGATATGCAAGCTCTTCAAAAAGTGTATCTGGAGGCACTGCTTGCTCAACAGAACCAGCAGTATGGTTCGCCGGTTTTTGGTAGATCTGGCAGCTTAAATCATCTATATGGGAATCCCACATATGGTCGTGGTATGCCATATCAGGGAAACTTAGTGGACAATTCTGCCCTTGCGGGGTCTAGAACGTTGTCACAGCAAGAACGGGCCATCCACTTTGCTCCCCCTTTCAGAAATTCAGTGGGCGCAGTTCCTGGATCTTGGAATCCACAAGCTGACATTAACTTAGACCGAAGATATGCTTCATCATTGTTAGATGAGCTCAAGAACAATAAAACCAAATCTTTTGAGCTCTCTGATGTTGTTGATCATGTTATTGAGTTCAGGTATGCTGAGGTGTTCTTTGGTTTTCTTTCTGTTTTTCATACAGATCCATCATTGCCTTTGTTCGTTGTCTTTCTTGTATGTTGTAGTACGGATCAGTATGGAAGCCGATTTATTCAGCAGAAGCTTGAAACGGCCACAGTTGAAGAAAAGAATTTGATATTCCCAGAGATTATTCCTCATGCTCGTAGTTTGATGACAGATGTTTTTGGAAATTATGTCATACAAAAGGTATATTTATCATCCATTCATTTGTAAACTGCTTCTTTATAACTGTAAATTAACATGTCATACAAGTATGCAGTTTTTTGAGCACGGCACCAAAAGTCAAAGAAGAGAGTTAGCTAATCAGCTTATCGGTCATGTTTTGCCTCTTAGTCTTCAAATGTACGGTTGCAGAGTCGTTCAAAAGGTGATTAATTGAGCTCCGAACCTGAAATTGGTCTCTTAATTACTTATCCTTGTTTCTGTTCCATTGAGATTTGAGAAAGTTGAAAGCATAAGTTTTTACTAAAGATCCTATCTTGACCAATTACTATTATAGTATTTCTAGAACTGTGCCAAATCTCTAGTTATTGCAAAATGTTGTGTTTCTTTTGCATTTTTGCAAGAAGCCAAGAATGATGGTTTTTTTGCAATAAATAGCCGAATATGATGGTTCTAAAAGTTGGTAACAAAAAGCACAATTATGGTTTTGATTCCTAGCATTATCATTGATAACATTAGAAGGAAATGATGTCCCAGATTACATTTTCTTTTTCAGGTTTTGGTCATGTACATGCAATTAGTTTGTTAGAAAGGTTGATTGAATCAGTTCCTTTAGGTTGAGTTCTTTTTGGGATTCGAATAAATTGTACCAACATCTATCTATCTATACTCAGGCATTGGAAGTGGTTGATGTTGATCAGCAGACCCAACTGGTTGCTGAGCTTAATGGTTCAGTCATGAAATGTGTTCGTGATCAGAATGGTAATCATGTTGTCCAGAAATGTATTGAATGTGTCTCTCAAGATCAGATTCAGTTTATAGTTTCATCTTTCTTTGGGCAAGTTGTTTCTCTTTCATCACATCCTTATGGTTGTCGGGTCATACAGGTAAAAAAAACTTCCAATATTATTTACTTCTGATGCTTATATTCGAAACATTTGTGAAATATTAATTGTATTTGATACAAACAGAGGGTTTTGGAGCACTGTGATGATCCAAATACACAAGTTGTAATGGATGAAATCATGAACTCAGTTTGTACTCTAGCACAAGACCAATATGGAAATTATGTTATTCAGGTATTTACCCTTGTATGTAAAGTATCAAGTGTTAGAAAAAAGGGGTACTTTAATTGCTTTTGTTTGGTAGTATCAAACTAACATTTTGGAAGCTTTCAACCTCTTACGTCAAGCCATATTTATCACCTGCATTCATTAATGAATATATAACTAAGACCCGCATCTATTGCTTGATCAGCATGTCCTGCAACATGGTAAACCCCATGAGCGATCAGCTGTTATCAGCAAACTGACAGGACAAATAGTAAAGATGAGTCTGCAGAAGTTTGCTTCTAATGTTGTTGAGAAATGCTTGACTTATGGCAGCCCAGAAGAGCGCCAAATTCTCGTGAATGAAATGCTTGGTTCCACAGATGAAAATGAACCGTTACAGGTGACCAACTTGCTCTCTGGTTCCCCATCTTTCCCAGTTATCTTTTCTTGGATCATGTTGGGGCCGTTTACCAACACAAATTAGGTAAACGCTAAATGGGTAAGAGTGCGGTATGGGTAAGCGTTGACTGAAAATGGTTGTTTACCACGTACTTTGTAGGAAGTTCTTACTGATAACAATTTGGGTAATCATTCTCTGACTCGGTCAGTGACATATTGGTGGATGACTGGGTCAGTCAGAAGTGTATAAGCCCACATTTATTAATCTAGAATCATCAAGATTATATTTTTGTTAATTTATCAGATTATTGCATAAAGACAATCTTGTATGATGAGATCAAACACTAGAGTCTTGATGATTCCATACGCTTGCTGCGAAACTAACTGCAGTTGCTCCATTGCGAAAATACAGGCAATGATGAAAGACCCTTTTGGAAATTATGTCGTGCAGAAGGTTCTAGAAACCTGCGATGACCAGACCCGCGAACTCATCCTGTCACGTATAAAGGTCCATTTGGCTGCTCTGAAGCGGTACACATTTGGTAAACACATTGTCTCTCGTGTCGAAAAGCTCATCACTTCAGGAGGTGAGAAACATATCCTAAAACAAACTAGTTCAAGATTTCTTGATTTGTATGAGGATATAATCTTGGTTCCTCTTTATTTGCAGAAAGGCACATTGCATCATCGACGACTTCTAGTTCTTGAAACATCCTGTTTCTGATCAGAAACTAATAAGGAGACACTAATTGAAGAATAAACTTCACTAAGATCTGATCTGATCTGATCTGAATGTTATGTGATGGGAAATGGTGGTAAAAGAGGGTAGGAGAAGGTTGATTTGTAGATGAGGTGTTGATTTTTTGATAGTATACATACGGTTTTTATATATCTTGTAAAGATTGAGTGAAGTGTAAATGATCGATGATGATGATGATGATGATGATGATGATGATGGCAGTTGGTAGAGAAGAATTAACATGGTATGAGGCTATGTATAGGACCTGGTCTGTATGTACATATGCTGAATTTTGGTTCTGAAAAGATATACATATTTTTTGGTACGTGAAATCTTATTAGATTACTTTTTAAAACGGTTTTTAGGGAGAGAAAACAGGTTCCAACGTATATTGAGAACAAATTACTAATTGTGGTGACAGGTGAACCCACGATCAATAAGTAATACTGATCAACAAACGATATACAACATGTTGTGATAATAATATTAGCAATAAAGCATACAAGATATAAGAAGGGAATATAACAAGGTTCCATGGCATTACAACCGTGTGGCTTCCCAATTATGTGACTTACTGCAGTAACTTGTGACTCTAGTTGATAGGGGTGTTCAAAAAAACCGCCGGACCGCTCAAACCGG